GCGTGGGGGGGCATGGGGCAGCCAGTGTGTGAGGGGCGGGGCACGAGGCAGCTCACTCGCTCTCACTCCGTTTCTCACGCTCTATCTCTCACACGCACAAGTGCAGTAAGTCTTTTGCATGTAAGGGTGGAAACGCCAGCAATCTGTTGAAACATCGAATGAAAGTCCATCACATGCATATGAGAATTGCACAGTTTTTGCATACCTACCTGGTATATTATCATACGTACCTGGTATATTATCATACGTACCTGGTATATTATCATACCTACCTGGTATATTCTCTGTCGTTGCCTCGGGATGTTATGTATGCTAGCGGCCTGGAGCCCACACATGGAGTTATACAAATATGGTTCAATGATTAAAAGTAACCATTAGTCAGCTGATCGTTACGGGTGCGCTTATGAATTCAGTATGAAATGGTCAGAGCATCATATGTCGTTCTGAAATTCACAGTTTCAGTTTCAGATCATAGATTCATTAATTTGGACAAACTAAGGTTATCACTCAGTAAAATTACCGTAAAAGAAAGTCCTGCATTCAGTTTTTCACTTAAAAGTGAACGGTATTATTCCATAATCACAAAATTATATAATCTATAATAGTGACTTGTTCAAGACTTTGTTGCAGTTGTGCAACTCAACAATGTTAACAGAGCACATGTGAGAAAATAAAGCAGTGTTGATTCCGTTCTTAATTTGTTTCTTTGTCTCTCTTAAATTAAAAGTACCAATAAGAGTACCGTTAAAGTACCGGATCGATATGCAGTATCAGTAAGAGTATTAGTACCGTTAAAATCTTAATGACACCAGTCCCTAGTGATCACTCATATTTTTTTGGGGGGGTTGGGGGGGGCAGTACCTAGGTCTGGTCTATTTTCATTTGGGGGTCCGTGGTTTAAGATGGGTTAAAAATAACTATGTTCCTTAGGAAGTGGGCGCCCTCCCCCTCCCCTGCCCTGGGTGACAGCTCTTTCTGCTTCTCGCAGGAAGCTGTATGTGACCGTGTCGGTCAGCGTGTGCCTGCTGCTCTCCGGCCTCGCCGTCTTCTTCCTCTTCCCTCGCACCATCGATGTCACCTACGTGGGTGTGAAGTCTGCTTTCGTCACTTACAACCAGACCAGGCGAACTGTCTATATCAACATCACGGTAAGCCTGTCTGCCTTACTGCCTTTACGTGTGTCTGAGAGAATGAATGGTGTGTGAGTGTGCCCTGCAGTGGGTTTGTGCCCTGCAGTGGGTTTGTGCCCTGCAGTGGGTTTGTGCCCTGCAGTGGGTTGGCACCCCACCCTGGGTTATTCCCTGCCAGGTGCCCATAGCTTCTGCAATTGGACCCCCACAACCCTGAATATGAGAAGCGGGTAAAGAAAATGCGTGAATAGACGGATGGATGTTGTTCTTAATAATAAATGACTTATTACTATTATTATTATCATTATTATTGTGTGTGCCTCTGGGGGCTCGGACTTTCTTATCGTCACTCGTATGCTGCTTTGGACTGAAGCATCTGCTAAACAAATGGATATAAAATGATGATTATTTTTCCAGTTCAACAATAATCAACCAGTGAGTATTGTATGTTGCCTTTTATGTTTTATTCTAGAAACCAATGCAGTGTCCCATACAGTGTGTTACATACAGTTGACTCTGATCACTAGAGTGGGGATTTTTTGTTCTTCCTTTCTGGGGAGGTGGTGCAGTTTGATCTCTGTCCATTAAAATGCTTCACTTTTGACCGCGTGGTCTTCGACGCAAATACCAACCTCTGACCCCCGTTCTTCAGAATATGCTGAACATCACCAACAACAACTACTACTCAGTGGAAGTTGCCAACATCACTGCCCAAGTGCAGTTCTCGAAGACCGTCATCGGTAAGACCCGCATCAACAACGTCACATCCATCGGGCCCCTCGAAATGCGTCAGGTGAGGATTCATTCCGCCCGATAGTTCCCTGTTCCGCCGTTTGAGGATCTGATAGAACCAGATTCGGGTTCAGAAATGGGCTGAAATTCTCGTCGTTATTTATGCTCCTACTGGGGATACATAAGCAAGAATCTTGGAAGATAGAAGCATCTTTTATATGCTCTATTTATTTTTCAGATCGGCTATATGGTCCCAACCATTATAGCAGATGAGATGAGCTACATGTAGTAAGTATCACCCTTACTGATATCTCTCGTTAGTTTTCCTGAAAGTCTACGCAAACGTCACAGTCTCCTTAAGTCTCTTTTATCTGTGGTCTTTTTTCCCCCACCAACCTGACTGGTTTCTTCTTTGCATTTCCTTGTAGTGATTACTGCACGCTGCAGACCATTAAAGTCCACAATATCGTGGTTATGATGCAGTAAGTACATCTTGCAGCCGCTGCCTTCCGGTCCATCTGTCCGTTGTTTTCCTCGCCAGACACTTTTCCTTCCTTTGCGTTAAGAAAACATGGAGTGGCACTAAGTGCAGAGGCTGATAGATGTGGCCCTACGTAGATGTGTAATGCACTCTACCTGGTTTCCAGGGTGACTGTCACCACGACGTACTTTGGGCACGCAGAACAGGTGTCTCAGGAGATGTACCAGTACGTGGACTGCGGCGGGAACACCACCTCCCTGCACGGGAACTTCAAGGCGTCCAGCTACCTCCCGCCCCCTGAATAGCCCCTGCCCCCGCCCCCTCGTTGTTATTTCGTTAACTTGAAGGTACACTGTGTTCTTTGTCCACTAACCGTTACAAGAAAACTTGTTAAATATGTAATAATGATATTTCTGTGCACATGTTTTATGAGTAACAATAATGTAGACTGTGCTGTGATAGAATTAGCTATTCAAAAAGTTCTGTGAGAGAAAATGGGTGTAAATGTAGAGAGATTTGTTACATTTAAAACAAGCTATTTAGACTAACATGGAAGATGCAGTCACACATTTATGGCACAGGGCATAGCTTGTTCTATAGTACTGCTGAATGATGCAGTGCAGTGCAAAAATGAATTATTCATGGAAGTTCTCTGCTCCTGTGGTTGTAACTTGAATGATATTTTAAGTACAACTGTCTGCATAATACTTGATTTAACTTTTAATCTCTCATGCATGAGGTTGTATGACTGGGACATGTAATGTGTAAAGCATCCACTAGGTGGGGCACTTGGGTCGCTCATGTCCCTAGTTCCAAGGTGATGGGAAGTTGCAGTGCAAATTCAGCTGTACGTCTCAACCAGTTTGACTTTGTAGCTTGTTGTTCCATAGCGGCTGACCTGGCGGAATCACACTCCCTGTGCCCCTAGAACTCCTCACTTTATTTTGAAGGTATTAATAAGAAGTGAACCACTTGGTAATAGACTGGGCTTCGTTATTGTTGTTGCACTTATTTTTTAGTTTCTTCTTTGTAAAACTAGGACTTCCTGTCTGATTGACTTAAGTTACCAGACAGTTTTGGGATGTTGCTATTTCTGGTGCAGTGAGACAACCTCTTCCTTCTACTACTTGCTAACATGTATTTTAATCTTCGTTAGTTATAAAATATTGTTTTTTTATGCCACGTTAAAATGAGTTTAAGAAAATCTCAGTGGGATGAAGTATTTGCATTAAAGGTGTCTGATCTCAGTGCTCACGCCACCTTCCCCAGTCCCACCTGCAAACTGGCCTGTAAGCTTCATTGTGGCCTTGCTCTGGGACGGTACTGAACATGTTCTGCCAGTTGATCCTCTAATTTGGCCGGCAGTGTACACCTGGAAGGTGAAATTAGCCCCCCCCCCTTCCCCCTTGAGTGGAACAGTGGATGGGACAGGTTCAGCTGGTCAGGCAGAGCGATTGTCTTTTCTGCTCGAGGGCTGTTCAGATGTAGTTTAAGCTCCAATACTTGTTATATTTTGCACATAATTCATTATTTTTTATTTAAGAAATATTTATGTTGAAAGCTATATGAACTGATGTTTCTGCTGTCCTGTCATGTATACCTGTATCTGACACACAGACTGTGCATAGGAGACTCACTTTGCCGTTCCTTTTAGATATTAATATTTTGGTACTTGTTTCTTTAATCCCCCTACTTTCCATGAAGGTAGCTCTAACGTGTCGGCTTACAAATGTTTACATGATCAAAAAAGTAATTGAGGTGTGACCTACTGTGTGCTTATTTTTCAAAGTTTTTATGTTGGTTGAGAGGCATATTAAAAATATATGATTGAAAGTTATCGTGTTTGGGATTGTGTTTGTCATCAGTTATGTATGCTCATGTGACCCAGAGTCCTGCCGAAGAGCTGTGATGTTCTGTGGTAAATCATTTATACAGTATGGTAGCTTTCTGCTCGTCTGAGAAAGTAATAAATTGTCCTTTATTCTCCTCAGTCGACCTTACCAATTTATTGGAAAAAAATGTAAAACACCACTTCATGGTTTTATGTGGGGAAACTGCTGTTTTTTTTTCTCCTATAAATTCATATCTAATATTTGTATATACATCCCCCATAAAAGTCAATTGTTCCGATTCCCGCTGGGTCTTAGACACGGTCTGGTGTGTGAGGGGGGATTTCAGACAGACATCCACTTAGTCAGGCGTGATTGATATGTGTCATATAAAACGCTTCTAAGCTACAGGTCATTTAAGATGTCTGTTTTGTGTACATTATTTTATGCTAATAAAGTAACAAATATTCCCTTAATTTGAATTGCTTAATTGGGTCCCTGTGTGTATCTGGAAATATTAAAGTTTCTTAATGAATGAACGAATGAATGAATATCATCAAAAATTGCGCAACATTAAGCTTTGTCCGGTTTTTAATATTAATTTTTTTTGCTCAAGTGTGTGTGTGTGTGTGTCTTTGGTAAGTGGTTAATCGCAATTACGCAGAACCATTAAAAGTAAGGTTTTTTTGGGTCAGGGTGGTGTAAGTTGTGGTGGTGTGTTGGTTTTGTGTGTTGTAACAGCGTTATATATCCGAGAGAAAAAAATCACTCCAGATGTTTTACACGTGTAGGAATACATGTATACTAACAAAACTTTTTTTTTTTTTAAGCTCGAGCTTAAAAATGACTGAATATGACTTGGAATGCACACTGAAATGTACTTTCTAACACATTTTTACAGGTCTGGTAAATGGGCCGGCCGACCTATCTTTGCCGTTTGTCCAAGTTGGATCCTTGCAAAAGTAGGATACAGAAGGAAAAAAACGGACAGCGGAGAGAATATAATATTTCAGGTTAAGGCCATCCAAGCTCTGGACGCTTAAAAAAATCTAAATCCTGCCTTGACCCTCGTTCAATGCGAACTCATTCTCAAGTTATTCGGACTGTATGTAGTTGCATTCTCATGGATGTGACTGTCATATGAATTACAAACTAAAATGGCGAATACAGACTGAAGGAACGCAATGTGACCTTACAGCAGTCGGCATTTGTGCGCTAAGCATGACATGCATGGCTTAGCCAGTATTGAATTGCGGTGGGTTAGTCAGTGCAGTAATTTTACAGCATCGTAAGGTTTTTTGTTTGGGCCGATCGGGGGCTCCTGAGTGGTCTGGATGCGTGTTACCTGTTTGCGTGTGAATGTCTGCCTCTGGGAGTCTCCTAAGAATACGAGAATGCACATCTGTTTCCGCAGTGAAATTCCAGGCCACTTCCTGCGTGAAAGTGCGGATGGATTGATTTCTTTCTTCGCGCAGGAACAGGACCCACTGCGTCTTCTGTCAAACAGATAAATCATCGTGGGAAGTCACTGTGCTTCCAGACGGACGAAGGTCTCCGTGGCGCTCGATCCTCCGGAGAAAAAAACTGCCAAACTTCAAACTAAGTTTTCCATATTTTCTATTGGTGTGTCTGTGTGTTTAACGCTGTAATGACCCGACCAAGCCCTGTGGATGGAGAAAGATTGTGCTTTAGGGGTTTGTATTCAGGCTTAGTTTAACTTTTTAAACAGTCTTGTTCTCCGTTACTTTTTTCTGTAATCCGTAAAACTATTGAAAACACTGTATTTTATGCCATCCAGACTAATGTGTGTTTGGCACGACCAAAAATATGGCCCCATATATTTCAACTACATTCTGCGACACATGAATTTTTATCAATTTGACTAATTTATTTTTATATAAAAAGTGAATTGAACTCGATGGGTTGTAGACGACCCTGCTAAAAATGTTGAGTTGTATTTTCCTCAGAGTGTCTGTTGATCCAGATTACATCTGCTAGAGTCATTTCCCCACATGTGGTAAAAATCGCATAAACTTGATCTATTGGTTGAGGGGGAGTCTGGCTATGATTGCATTACCATACAGCCCATGCTCGACTCTTCGAAATTGTGGCTTCCTGGGGAATTTAACAATTTGCATTTTAAGTGTATTTTTTAAATTAGTTTATTACTGTGCTGTATTGAGGAAATAAGATATTTTGAAATCTTTTTACATTCTCAGCTTTTCGCTTTTAGTACCAGAGGAAGTTGACATCTGTAGTTTTTCTTAGTGCGTTTCAGTGCTTACTGTTAGCGCTTTAAACATGTGCTCCTCAAATGCTTTAGTTAAAAAAACAACGAAAGAGTAAAAAGCAACCATTTTTTTTAAACTGCATTGGTGAATCTCCGCTTGTTGTCACTGGATTTGTTTGCACAAGTGCAGAGTAATTTGCGTACCATTTCACGCCACTGGTGTGCAATTCTTTTCTGCTGTCAAAAACCAGCTTTGTAAATAAGAGGACTGTTTTCCTCGAAGACTTAATGGAAGTCCTTCCCCACCCCTCCCCCCACATTAAGCAAGCACCATTTTTTTTTACTCGAGCTACATGGATTGTTTTACATCCAATACAATCTACGGATATGTCACGTGTCACCAGCAGGGGGTGCTCAAGGGTAGGTAGTATCAGCGGCGGTGCCGTGAGTGGAGCGCGAGCCTCCTTCATCAGCCTAATCCAGTTCCCCTTGTCTGCACTCTGGAGAAGATGGGGCTGCTTTGCTGCTCTCCCTCACTGGTGAAGACGATGCTTGCAGTGGCTTCCTTGATCCTGCTGGCGAAGCTCGGCGAGGGCCGGTCGGACGCGTCCCGTGGCGTGGCGGTCCCTTTCGTCTTTGACCCCAAAGCCACGTGTCAGCCAGCTTGCAAACATGCGGGCATCTGTATCCGAAACAACACCTGCTTCTGCTCCAAGGGCTACGAGGGAGAACTCTGCCAGTATGGTGATGATAAACTTTTAATTTCACTGATTCTTTTTATTTCTCAAATATATTGTGTAGCTTTTATTTTGGACTGAACAGTATAATATGAGTTTTTAATCTTGGTTTTGTGGAATAAACTTATCTGATTTTATAAAATTGCCAGCCCAAATGCTTAGGCGATTCTTTATGTGATAACAAAAAAAGAGGAAGTAATCGTAACAGAAAATGTTTATAGCTAACTGGTAAATCTTGATGGTTATAGCTGCCTGTGACCCCAAATGTAAGAATGGGGGGGAATGCCTTCGTCCCGGGAAATGCAGATGTCCTCCGGGATTTGGGGGGAAATACTGTCATCAAGGTAATTCTGCAGATATATGTGCTTGCTGTTAAATTTCAGCTTCTACATTTTGTTTCCATGTTTGTCTTGTTGATACTGCATTTAATGAACAAACTGGAAAAGCATATGTGCATGTTATCCATTTCCTGTATTACCAAACAGTATTGTGCACCACTAAAGTGCGAATGTATATGTTGGGTATTTTAATGTGCTTCACTGTTTGAGTGGAATCTGGAAAACTGTGCATTGTTCCAGTACATCCAGTGCCATGATATGGGGGCCAGAATGTATGTGCAGTGTGAGTTTGGAGATATTTGGATGAATGTGTGTGTGTGTGTGTGTGTGTGTGATTGGGGATGGATGTAGGTGTGTGTGACACAGTATCTCTGCATGAGGGACTCAGTGTGACTGGCTGTGATGGAAATGTAGCCAGTTTAAATGGATTCCACCAGTTCGGCCCTTGGGCAAGACTGTTAACCTCAATTGCTTTGGCTGACGGACCTTCTCAGTTGTATGTCACCTTGGATAAAAAGCATTTGCTAAATAAGTATTATGTGTGAGGGACTGTATGCCTATGTGCTGCTGATGGATTGGAGAGGTTATGGCCTGACAGCATTTCTGGGTTTGACACAGTGGTGTGCGACGGAGGATGCTGGAATGGGGGGGAGTGCATCGCGGAGAACAGGGTGGTGAAATGCCTCTGTCCCTCCAGCTGGACGGGTTCCAGATGCGAAGAAGGTCTGTTTACTGTACGGAAGCCTAAAGTTAGAGATCTCCTTACCCACCTTCCATACATGTGCATTATGATTCCAGCTAATTTACCTGAGGTTTTTCTCATGGTTAATCTGTTCCGTTTTAACGCTAATGGATGGTTACTTCAACCTGGAGTTTATGAATGGCCCTATTTCTCACTGAACAATTTATCATATTTCATTAAACTGTGTACATAAGAATTTTAACCCACAGTCCAGCTAATGACCCAACTGCATCCTCCACAGGCTGATTATACCAAGTGATGCACCTTTTTTTTTTTTTTTTACTCCAGCGATATGTCCCCAGGGGTGCCAGAACGGGGGCAGCTGTGTGGCCCCAGGCATCTGTAGCTGCCCCGAAGGCTGGCTTGGAGGTGCCTGCCATGTTGGTGAGTCCCCCATAGACAACACGCCAGTCTGTGCTGGGAATGCTGGGCGAATTGGGCCTGTATCAGTCATTATCAGATGGATTACTGTTAACCACAGACTTAGAGCCCTAGAGCTGTGCGATGCTGTGAGCCGGGAGGATAAAGGGATACAGCACAGGCTTTGTCAGGATAATTCGGCTGCATAGACTTAGACTCTTCTGCAGTATTTATCCGCCTTGTGCAGCAGCCATCAGGAGTCGCCTTCCTGTGCTCATACAAAAAGCAAAGAATCGTGCAGGTTTCTATTGAGAAGATGTGACTTAGGGTGGCTGGAAAGGTCCTGCTTTTGAGATCACTGAGGGAAGTGAGTTTCACAAGGACTGTTCATCACAAGCTCATACATTCAGTACAGTGAGATTCTAACACGTCATCGCTGATGCAGATTATTTTCGTTAGTCACACATTTTAAGAACTGCTGTTTAGCAAATGTTCTGAAATGGAGTGTAGGCTGACTGAACAGCAGATGATGCTGAAATCACTTTATAAACACGTGAGTGTGATGTGATGTAATCCAGATGCAATGTAATCCAGATGTGCACCCCCCCCCCCCCCTTCCTCAGCTGTGTGTAAACGGCCGTGCGTAAACGGCGGGAAGTGCATCTCCCCGAACGTGTGCCGTTGCCGCATCCCTTTCTCTGGGCCGCAGTGTGAAGTGAGGAAGATGTTTTAACTCTGGAACCGTGCAAGAGCAAGGAGACAACGCTGACCTATATCATATATCCCTGTGTAAACCTGTTAAATCATGGTGCTTCAGAGGAATCCTTGAATTTGTAATTTTTATTTTTTTTTGAAACACTGAAATAAACATAAATAAATGTTAGAGACGAACCTGTGAGGATTGAACAGAAAATGGAAATTCTCTCGAATGATTGTTTCATCATACTGTCAATACCAAATTAAATCTATTTACTTAAAACTGCTTGCATAATTTTTTTCTGTTAATTTCATAGTAATCAAAACTATTAATTCAAAATTTTGATATCTGAGCAACTTTGTGCCAATAGAACAGAAAAAAACTAACCTCCATGCTTCAGCTCATGGTATTGTGACCTTTCATTAGCTCCTCTTAACCAAAAAATCCTGAATAAAATAACCACAGACACAAGCACCCGATGGATAGAATAGGGATAGAACCTATGTGCTTCATTTATTGAGAAATTGTAAATATATGAAAGTCACAAAAAATATTAAAAAAAAAAAAGTTTTGGCATCTATATATAACCAAAACCACAACACTTTTAAAACCAATTTTATTCAAAAAACACTCTCCAGTATCAAGTAACATACATTAGAAAACAGAGTAAATTAATGAATTAATTATTGTAACTCCATAAACCGCAAAAAGACACAGGCCATGGGTTTGCAGATGACGTGATCCGTGGTCCTGTTGCTGTCATCGGCCGGTGACCTGCAGCCTGCACTGGGGCGGCTTGCAGCTGAGCGTGAGGCGGCCGGGATGAAGATCAGCACCTCCAAGTCTGAGGACGTGATGGTTCTCAGCCGACAAACGGTGAATTGCCTTCCCCTGGTGGGGAGGGAGTTACTGCCTCAAGCGGTGGAGTTGAAGTATCTCAGGATCTTGTTCCCGAGTGAAGGAAGGTGGTAGCAGGAGATCGGCAGATGGATCAGTGCAGACCCTGTACAGTAATGCTAAAGAGGGAGCTGAGCCAGAAGCTTCCAATTTACCAGTCGTTCTACATTTTTGCCCTCACCTATGGTCATGATACACCCATGAAATACAATGATCCATTGGGGAAATAGACTAAGGCGGGAACATAAATACACAAATTTAACCAGTAAACGACATAGCAGGAGTGAGACATGAAACAATTAACCAATCAGGGAGGGTGCAGGACAACGAGCAATCGGGGCTGAACACACATGGACTGGCGCAAGAAAACAGGTAACAGGAGAAACAACTAATTAAATCAAGGAACTCAGAAACTAACAGAAAATAGTAAACAGAATATAACACTACGGGAATAACAAAAACAGGTAAAACACAACCACGGGCACAAAGCAAAAAACCAAGTTACAAAACACAGTAACTAGAAATATTGTTACAAATGAAACACTAGGGAACAAAATCTGCAAAAATACAAAAACAGGACAAATAGGATTTGAACACACAAGTAAGGGCTTCACAGGTAGCTGCATGTTCAGCTCACTGAGCCATGTGGCCATCAGGGGAGCAGGGGAAACACACTAAAGACAGACAACGGGGAGGACAGGATGGCCAGCGACACCTGCTGGCCAAACGGGGAGACGACACGGAACAAAATAATTTTTTACATTAGCCTAATCGGTATATTTGTGTCTCTTAACCTTTAACAGCCAGGTACAAATTAAATTACAGACAAGTTAAAGTTTTAGAAACGCACTCAAGAAAATAAGTATCCAGTGACATATCTTACTGTACATGTTTGACAGGATATCTCCAAATGTCCTGTACAAATAAGCTTCTAACTTTTAAGATGTTCCCTGTCATGTCCACTATACATGTCAAATTTTTATGAAATTTTTACTTTTGATACACAAATTGAAATGGCTTGTGCTCTACTTAAGTGGAAAGGTCAGTGGAATCAAAATATATTCTTATACTTTTATATGGTAGACCTTTTGATGCATGGCAGAGTGTCTTTGCTTGTTTAATCACAAATAAAATATTTATAGTGCACCATGATTCACTCATGCTACATGAGAGAATTTGTTATGTCCAGTTTAAAACCTTACGGATCCCTCTGTTTATAGGGAAAGTATGATGGTTGCATGGTGACCCCATTGCTGTCAAATAATGCTGAAGAAAGCATGAATGAAAGGAGAGAGTTTAATACTGATGAATGTGCTTTGTGTCGTTCAGTTACTCAGAAATCTGTGTATATATGAAAATGCCCTTAATGTGGTTTGTGACCTGTTTAATGTTTAATTGAACTGAAACGGTCAAAATGTCAGGAGGCTAAATGAATTTATTTGATTATTAACTCAAAGAAAAATCTATATAAAATCATGTTGCAGGTGTTTTGCCAAAAGAAGCCTAATGACATCCAAGGCGATGGCCACACAGTGAACTTTATGATTGCGATTATGATTACATTTATTAATTATTATTTTGGAGAGCAGTGCGTGATTGCCTGTTGTAACATTGCACATTTTTTTTTTTATGTATATATTTTTTATTTTGGTAGACATTGCGGGGTGTGGGGGGGGGCATTGTGAGCACATCTGAATATTGGGGGTGGGATGTGTCCCCCCAGTACATACTGCAATTACAGCCTTGACATAAATATAAAAAGGTGATCTATATGTGTATTTCATATAGGCTAAGTTATGTCTCTATAAAGATATCGTCCTTTAATCCATGTAGATCATCTATACATACATACGGCTTGCCAACGGGGGTTTGAGGTAGTGACAGATACGTTTATAGTCTCTCTGGCCATTCCAGATCGCAACTTATTCACATCTCCAAAGCTGGGTCTCAAGGCACAGATGCTCACCTATGCATGAGCGTAAAGATTCTTTCAGTCGTGCTTTAGAGGGGTCCTCAGCACTAACTTTTATCCCTGCAGAGAAAAAAAAAACGTTGAGAATTTATTTCTATTCATTCTTGCAACGGAATTACTGGAATATGAGAAATGAAATAACATTTTTAACAATAATTCATCCTTCTGCTTTAAGCTTTACCAATTTGTACTGATTTGCTCAATCCTTCCCCGCCAGTCAACTGTGTCTCTCTGGCTCTTCTTAACATTTTTATTATATTTATATGTTTCAGTGTTAATATTCTGTTTATTATTTTTTTTTACTTTTCATTTGCACTTCAACCAATGAGAGCATCTCATCTCAGTGTCTGACTGCATTGTATATCTGAAGCTGACAATAAAAGTTTGACTTTGACTCATCTGCGTAGAATGCAAGGCAAGTGACAGCCAGGATGCAGAAACACGCGTCGGCGTATACACAGCTGCGGAAGACAGTGAGGAAAGGTTGGTCACCTTTTTCCCACAGCTGGCACCGACGTAACCCGGCCGACAGTGGCAGAAGTCGGGCAGCACACACCGGCCCCCGTACAGGCACTTCTGTTTGCACACAGCTGTAAGACAGCCAGTTTCAAACTGCGCGTCAGATGTGAAGGGGCTGAGGGGTCGTGACTCGCGGCGTGCTGAGAAGCACTACGGCTGACTCACGGGTCTGGCACTGCAGGCCTTCCCATCCAGGCGGGCAGTGACAGGTGTTGGGTCCCACGCACTCGCCACCGTTTCTGCATGTCTGGTGGCAGATGGCTACGGCCGTAGCGTGGGTAGGGAGATGAAACAATGCACACAGTTAGTGTTGAAAAGAGCCCCCAAGCAATACCTTATTAAATATTTTTCTATTTTGATATGTATACAACTGTGTGCAGCATAAACCCCCTATTTGCTCAAACCCAGCAGCATGCTATTATTTAGTCTGGCTTCCAGCGTGTCTGTATTCAGAAGGACACTGGTATGCCCCAAAATCAATGTCTGCCATATGGCGCATCACAGATTGTCACCCCGGCAGGCAGAGTCGAGCTAAAGGTCAGCCACACTCACGGACACTGCATCTTTTCCCCTTCCAACCGGAGGCACAGGAGCAGGTGTTCGGGCCCACACACTTGCCCTTGTTCATGCAAACCGGATCACACACACCTGAGAGCCAAAAAAAAAAATACTCATTGGTGCCTAAAGAAGACTCATACAAACAGGCAAATATTTACACCAACATTAGGCAAGCATTACATGCTCAATGCGCACAAGACAATGCAGACAACTACTAAACAGTAACAGAGTAAAAGGAACTCTTTAAGGTTTAATGTTACAGGATATATAAAACCGTACAGCATTCTGGAGAAATTATGCTTAAATTCCTTTGCTAATTGTTCAATAGAAGTTTGTCTCAAATGTTACTAATTAAAGTTATGCTGGCTGTAACATTTTTGTTAACAGGTAATGCCATTAGTCCATCATATAATATTTAGTTTCCAATGAACATAATCGGATCCGTCCTAAACAGCACATGTCAACCTGAGAGCCGCGGATGACTCACTGCTCTGGCACCTCTTCCCGGTGAAGCCCTCGGCACACGAGCACACGTTGTTCCTCATGCACTGACCCCCGTTTTTACAGGGAGGGCTGCAGACAGCTGAAATACAGTCATATGAATGTAACACACTAATATACTCTTATGCACTTTGTAATCTTGTGACCTGTTTAGTATAGTATACGGTTAGCGTCTGTAGATGACCGGCAATGAACAGCCGAGCAGCTAGTCTTTCACTCGATGGCGTGTTCCTGGCATGGGAGAGACGTTCTTACCAATCTGGCACTGAGATCCGTAGAAGCCAATGGGACAGAGACAGATGTTGGGTTTCACACAAGTTCCCCCGTTCAGGCACACAGGTTCGCAGTCCGCTGGTAGAGTAGAGAACAGTATAACATAGTCAGCTAAATCGTTCACTCAGTTTGAATGGTTTAGTGGTTTCTCCTAAAAGTGAGCAAGGCTGAAAGGTGGTACCTGAGCTGCAGGTGGGTCCGAACCAGCCGGATTTGCACTTACACACGTCAGGGGAAACACACTCGCCTCCATTCTCGCAGTGCCGGCTACACACCACTGAAAATTCACATGGGACCACATGTTACTCGCTCACTTGATCTTCAGGAATATGCATCCAGTTGTACTACCACAATAAAAGCGACGACTCTGTGGAACTGAAGCATTTCTCTCCAGCAGTTGACAACCATTCAATGGCCTCTCACTCGTTTCACATCTGGGTCCCACGTAGCCGTACTGACAGGTGCAGAGGTTTCTGGCCTGGCACGTTCCTCCGTTTTGACACGGCGGATCACATTTGGCTGAAGAGAAGTGAAGGAGCAAAAGCAAATAACTAGTCAAGAATTACAACATGAACTACACAGTGGAAACTGGCATGAATGCAGGTATCAGGTAATCAGGGGATTTTAAAGGGTAGAAAACTCCACGTTCCCATACATTTGGTTTGACAATCAGATTAGCTTTTTATGCTGGTTACCTTCCTCGCAAGTGGCTCCGCTGTAGCCCAGGGCACAGGCACACTCGTTCGGTTTCACACACTTGCCTCGATTCTTGCAGTCAGGTCGGCACACAGCTGTGGGGAGGACAGTGACGTTAGAGTTTGGTGTGTAGAGTCAGTATGCGACCTGCCCACCTTCTGTAACCGCTTGTCCTGTTCAAGGTCACGGGGGGGTCTGGAACCTATCCCCGAGGCTACTCACACACCAGTCACACACATGGTAACTGTTTTCAGACTGTGAGGGACCTGGAGGAAACCCCACCACAACACAGGGAGAACATGCAAACCTCACATGGAGCCATGGCAGAGACTCAAAATCCCAGAGGCATGAGGCAACAGTGCTAACCACTGCACCACACTGCACCACACTGCACCACCCCAGTCACATAATATTAGACAATAAAATGTATGTGAATTGGCTGCCCTGCCCAAGCACTTCAGCTGAAATAAATCCCTATAAACAAGGTGGTTAAACCCGGCAAGCACTCTGTCTGGTAACACAAGACCATCCCCCTGGTAAATGTTTAATACTTTTGGTTTCTTGGGATGGCAGACAGACGAGAAACCAAGCTTAGACATAGCAGTCCATGCCAGAACCCTCTCCCTTCTTGGAGAAAGATACCGAATGTCACTCTAGCTAACCAGGAATGTGATGCGCATGAATTCTGAAGTGTAGCGCGACTGACCAATGTGGCAGCCGAATCCGGTGTAGCCCTCTTTGCAGGTGCAGGTGTTGGGCTGGGAGCACTCCATGTTCCGCCCGCATGGGTGTCGGCAAGCAGCTGCGCACATGGGAGTCGCAGGAAAATAAATCAGGTACCATGAAAGAAATAAAAGCAGCATGAGTGGCAAGCAGCTCACCTTTGCAGGTAATCCCGTCGCCGGTGTACCCGTGTGGACAGCGTCCACACTGAAACGACCCTGTCTGCGAAGGCTCACAGGGCACTCCCGGAAAGCAGGGTGCATCCGCACATGTCAGATTGGAGGAAGAAGCCTCGTGTTCTTCCAGGCCTGGCCCTTCATCTTCTTGGCCTGGGAGACGGACTGCAGGATTCATAGCTTTGGGGTCACTCTGGTCATATGTACGTCACGGCACATTCTTACCAGTAGAGGGCAGCTTATTAATACCCGTGTGGCTTCCTGCTGCTGTCCGCCGGCCGTCTAGGGGCCTCCGAGGTTGGGAGGAGGACACAGTGGGCACGTGCTGAGACCCGCCCTGGCTGCGCTCAGAAATAAGGACCCACGGCTTGCCAGAAGAACGGAACGGCTTCTCCCCTACAAAACCCAAGTATTTATCCAAGCTTATCACACAGATAAGGCACACAAAGCTGTATATGTAATTATTTAAACAGGAAATCAAGGACTGAGTGGGATTTGGTGAACAAAGCATTCCCCACCAATTGGGATGCCTGGGGCACAGGTGTAGCCGTCACCATGGAGCCCAGGAGGGCAGGGTCCACAGGTGAAACCGGCAGACAAGTAGGGGCTTTCGAAGCACTGAACCCCGGGGAAGCAGGGCTTCACAGCACAGGGCTTCGAAGGAGCTGGAAAGCCAAACAAAAAGGTGCTATGAGCAGCTAAATAAGCATTAATCCTGGGCTCCCTATTGCAAGTGCAGGGCATCCACAGAAATTGATGATATATTATTGGTATTCCCACCTTATTTATTCAACAACCCCCTTTGTCGGGATGAAGGATTTTCAGTATTAGTGAATTCCTTTGTTCTCAGTTGTTTATGTGATTGTGCTTCAGTGGTCAGGGGCCTCTAGCTCTAATCCGTTTTAATTGTGGGGTATTCAGAAAGTGGGGAAACCCCTGATCTGAGCGACTGATGTCATCATGAAGTATCCCAGCTGCACTGTGTCCTGTACACTGTAGTTGTCTCTGTGCTTACTGTTTGTACTGAGCCATAACCAATTCTGGTGTGTTCTCATACTGGCAATAAAGTGTTCTGAGTTCTGAGTTATTTCAGTGCGACAAATACTACTTACCAGAGCTAATTTTGGGTCTCAGGAATGTCTGGTACTCTCGGGTAGGTTGAGCCGTTTTACTTTCAGACACATCCACATCTGTCTTACCTTGAAAAGAAGATATGTTTAAAGTGTTCCTCAAATACCCTCCAATGAGCTGATGTGGGAGCACTGAAAGTGAAAGTGAAAGGGCTGAACCTACGGCTGCAGCTCCGCCCATCTCCACTGTATCCCACGGGGCAGGGCCCACAGATGAAGGAGCCAAAAGTGTTGTTGCAACCAACTTGGGGAAAACATGGTGCAGACTCACATTCGTCAACATCCTCCCCACAAGACAAGCCTGTGGTACCAAACAGTGATGGTCATACACAAGCAACATCAAACAAAAAATACCAAGAAACAAACTGTATCTAATTCATGTTTCCTTGAGTCATGGTAAACAACAGGTTCATGTAACATGGGACATTTTTTGATATATCTATGTAAACCTACAAACTTCTGAGAAGGATATCTTCTTCTGAATTTACCTGTTAATCCAGGTGGACACACACATGAGTAAGAGTTGAGTCCATCCACACACCTGCCGAAGTGACAAGGGTTGGATTTGCAGTTGTCTGACCGACGCCCACACTGCGCCCCCTGGTGCCCATCTGGACACACACACAGGTACTCCCCACTCCCAGGGGGAAAGTTCATATTAGTGATGCAGGAAGCTCCATTCAGGCAGCCACATGACCGCACTAAAACCTGGAAGGGACCCAGATATATACAAAAGGTCACTCTTTTGGGTAAGAATGGGTGTGTTATGGGGAATTTCTAAATCAGAGCTCCCTCTTGTGGTAAAAGAATCAAAAAATATTTTCTAAATATATATGATCATATTCATACCCAGAACATAGGTGGCATTAACAGAATAAAATATCTTTTAAATTATTCAAACCTGGCATGAATACAAGTCAAGAGTTTGAGCACACTTGCTGGAAACAGGGTTTTCGATATGGTTTTACATTATCTGTTCTTTTGTATATTGAAATTGTCTGTAAATCGTGCATACGTAAAAATAGATTTTGTGCATCTCAAGGTGTTTTTTACTTCATTTTCTGGCTGAAGAGTGATGGACTGCCCAGTTAGACATTATCCTGAAGGAATCACATTCAGGTAGGCTGTATAATAGCCATGCTGGATTTGGTGAAGATTACCAGCTAAATAACCTCTGACTATATCACTGTCTCCTCCATCCTCAACAGAGAGGAATATTACAGTTCGTACAGTCAGCTCACAAATGAACTACAGTTGGACCCATATGTTTCAAATTTTCACTCCATAAGTCCATAACACCGGTTTCTATGTTTACAGTGTATACAGTTTGAAGCATAGGTAACTATTACCACAAGCAGAGTGTTCAAACCTTTATTCATAAAGCATATATATTAATTTAAGGGCAATATCATGCTTTCCAATGGGACAAGAAATACCACAAATAATGCTTTGAACCAAACTGTCGATATAATTTTCTCACTGTACCTCTACGACGGCCCGGGTGGCTGCATTACAGTCATCAATAACTGTGAACACGAAGGTCTGCGGAGAAGCTGAGGTGACTTTCCAAATCAGCAGCCCAGCGGGGGACAGAATGGCGTCTTTCGGTCCAGACTCCAGTGTGAACTGGACCGCCGAGCCCTCGGGATCTGATGCAAGGAACTGGTACACAAAGTTCTCGCCGTAGAAGGTCCTCAGATGGGCTTGTGGAGGCTGGAACACGGGGGCTTTGTTTGCTGACGGGAGACAGAGGACAGAGGTGTAACATGTAAACATCACAGAAACGTAAACATCACGGAAAGGCCTTTAGTTAGTGTAAGTGCGAAAGGAAACACGTGCAGCCCTGCTAACAAGCTAACACGATTTGCTAAAATATGCAGTCTATCATTTTGGACATAATAGAGTGCTTTTAGTCATCTAGCCGAGTAATTTTACCACCAGAGAAACAATTTTCACATTACTACAACTGTTATGTGGTCAATTAATTTGTTCACTATCACTTAGACAGGTGGCAAATTTACACACTGCTACAATTATGATTAAACATTTTGCTTAAGGGTACAACAGCAGGGCCGGTGCTGCAATTTCAATCAGCAATACTTCAAATCCAACTCCATCTTCCACATGCAATCATATATCCAACATAAAAGGAAAGTAGAGCCTTAATGCACATGATGCACCATCTAATCACAGCTACACAAAGGAGTAGACACAAAGATGTCTACATAAGCAAGGCGATTAAAAGTACTGCTTGAAAAAAAAGCTTATTTACCTTCAAAAACAGACCATGTAAACTGTGAAGAATCTGGGCGGCAGATGAGACAAGGGCTGGTGGGGTTGAGGTCTCCTTCTCCGTAACACAGCCCATCGATGCTGCACGTTTTCTCCTTAACACAAACAAAGGAGGAACCAAGAAAGCACAGGAGGTCAAGTTCACCCAACAAGCAAACAAAATTTTCAAATGTGTTAGGGCTGAAACATCAAACATCCAAAAGACTAGCGGTATGTGCAAGCAGCATGAAAAAGCACACAATCTGTACAACAATACGAACTAATCCTAATATGAACTTTCCATAAACGATTACAAGTACAACGAGGAACACTGCCCACTAACATCTTCACATGCTGTCTCATGGCCGGACCCTTGCAGGTGGATCTGCAATGTGTGTAAGTGATTTCAGCCACGGAAACTCAGGTGATACCCACCCTCAGAGTGCAGAGGCCTTCGGCCTGGGGTGGGCAGATCTGACACGCTCCGTCGAAAAGGGTCAGGACCTTGGCATTGCTAAACCCATGCCCATCGTTGGAAACCTGGCAAAATACAGACATCAGCATGGAACATTCCTGAAGACTCTAGGAGACCTATAACCTAATCTGCTATTTTTTAAAAATCAGCGTACATGTATATGGCAATTAAAATTACTTTTATAAAGGATACCCACTTAAATGACGAGGGTTTATTTTATTTAACTGAAAGTGATTATGTTGCATTTTTAGGATGCTCAGTGTGGAAACTGGGCACATTTTAATATTGCTCTAACCAACTATCTTTCTTTCCTCTTCTGCATATCAGGGTGCTATTATAGTGCAAATTAGAAGCATTACGACTCAGAATAACTGTTTATCAAACAGCATATCATTGGGTGTCTTTTCACACTTTATGCATCAGTCCTTTGCTCATTTGATCATGTTATTAACATAGAAAACAGGTACTGCTTGGTATTGATGATTTCACTTCATTCATTTTATTAGTTACATTCATTAGTGATGATCAGAGAGCAGGACCTGACAGTGTCCATGAAGGAACTGGAGTTAGGGACCTTGCTAAGATCCCAGCACTGACATCACACTGGCAGCTATGGGATTTGACCTTCTGATCATGGGCATGAGTACCAACCCTCAGAGCCACAAACCAACCACCATTTCATGATTCATTGTAAAAGAAAGTCTCCTCTTAGAACCTAACCCTAACCCTAACCTAACCCTAACCCTAACCCTAACCTAACCCTAACCCTAACCCTTGCTTGAGGCATTAACACGTACTTTAATTTGCCACCTAGCCATCGGTTTGTTGTTGATTGTTTCTGCTTCCAGGCCGTCAAGACCTTGTGTTCCTTCCACTGGGAGCTGACAATCCAGAGACGTAGGACTCAGGAAGGAGGCAGAAACTAACTGCGGGTCTTCCAGAACCCACTCGCCATTGACAAGCTGGAAGAAGACGCGAACGTAAAAAGCTGACAGTATTACTGCATTAGTGTCCTGCTGATAATGAAAACTGATATTACATAAATTCACAGGTGTTTCTGGGGCAGAGAGCTACCTTTTCTTTCACCACTTCACACTTGAGCTTAGTGGAGGCTTGGAAAGCCTGACCAGACACCCTGACGGTGGAGCACTCACGCTGACGGACATCACAGAGACCTGCCCTCTCCAACTCCGTGATCTCTGGGATCTGATCTTCGAAACAGCATTTTACAGAGAACAAAAACACAAGGGCAAAAGAGAATTTCACACTGTAAACAACCATACAAACAGGCACACATTTACCAGTCTTATATAAATACAGATACTCCTCAGCTTACAATTGGGTTATGTTCTGATGAACCCATCGTAAGTTGAAAATATCGGAAGTAAAACAAAACATGATGTAACACTTTTGGGCGTTTAGTACACATAATGGGCTTGAAAAAAATTGGTTAAACAGGGAAATATACACAGTATGATATGTTGTTAATGTATCAACAGATCAAAATTCAAATTTGATGACTACTGAATGTGCATTGCTATCTCACCATCAAGATGTCGAACCATCATAAAGCAAGGAACATCTGTACATCGATACTGGTTGACAAGTAAAACGTGAATATCCCATTACAGTGATCCCCTGTTATGTCACGGTTAAGCTATCGCACCCCCACTATATCGCAGATTTTTCCTCGATGCATCACAGTTCTCTGCGAACAACATATTGTTATTATTATTGTGTTACTCATATCCTTAGCCTGACATCCACATATCATATGTGTCTACAAAGTGTGTTTTAATAAGTTTACATGTGTTTAAAATGTGTGGGAGGGGCATTTTAAGGCTTAAACTATAAAAAATGTTTGTTTATATGGTCTTTCTATATCGCGGATTTTCACCTATCACTGATGGGTCTGGAACGTAACTTCCGCGATAGGCAGGGGATCACTGTACTTGTTTCAGAAACTGCTGCGTAACCTGAACTTGATCTACATGTCTTCATAAAGGAATTAGCTACATTTGCCTAGTTCACAGCACCTACCAGAGAGCATGCTGCAGTCGTAGGACCCGAACCCAGGGAGGCACACGCAGCCCGACTCGGAGCAGTGCCCGTTGTGGCTGCACAGTTCAGGACACCTGAGAAGGGCCACAGCGGTGCCCCACTCGCCACCCCCGCCGTCCTGGATCAGCCTCCTCTCGCACTCGTTCTGCAGCAGGGGCAGGCTAGCGCTCAACCAGGCCTGGTCGTCCTTCAGCTGCAGGTCAGCCACGCACATCAACACTGCGTCATTCAGAGTGTCGGCCAGCAGGGGGCCGCAGGCCATCGCCACACTGGAATTGACCACGGCGCGGAGGCAGAGTTGCATGGTATGGGCCGCGGTCGGGCCCAACGCGGGGGGCCGTGGCAGCGAAGGCTCCGACCGGTCATCTTCCACATGGTCATCGGGGAAGAAGTAGGTGAGGCCCTCCAGAACGGCCTGAGTCAGACTCTGGCGTGAAAACTCCACGACGGGTGACCCGCTCTGCCGTTTCCATCTGGCACTGGCAGCGTGGGAGCTGCTGTCCTGCCCGGCAAGCCTGCCAGTGCTATCAAACGATTTATCGTTCATCATTCCTCTGACCTGGCTGTGGGGGACTTCCTGCCTCTTCCAGGGAAGCTTCTCCCGACTCTCGTCCGTGCCGTTCACTGGCAGCACCGACCTTAAGTATTCCGCGGTAACGTCCTGGAAAGGTATCACCGATGGGAGCCTCACGTTGCCGGGATGAGCACAGGTTGTGGGAACGGGGGGTGGCTTGGACACGTAGGCTTCCTGTTCGCAGTCACAGTAGCGCCTGACATTTTCCGAATTTTCATGGTGCGGAACGCTATCAAACAGGCTGCTGCCAGGGGGAAGTCTGGCAAGAGCAGAGACATACAGGCGCAAAACTGTCAACGTGCCCGATTTCGTAAAAAGCAGAGGCGGAGCAGGGGATTCGGAGATGCTTACCTCCACCGGCCGATGAACTCAGAAGCATCCTGGACGGCGGTGTCCCCCGCCCTGCGGAAGTCATTGTGGGGGTCCCCGTCGAAGGTCCCACACAAGCCCTCTGTGTGCCCAAAGTCAGAACTAGGAGCTCGCAGGCTAAGACTCATCCCCCATTCGGCCACGTCCGCTCGCACAAAGGCCCCCGATGAAAATATGATCTGTGAGAAACAGAAAAACACAAAGGCACAGTGCAGTTGCTTAGTTCATTTCCTCTTCAAAAATTCCTCCTCGTGCTTCCAAGTTTTGGGGCACTGTATTCCCAGCTGCAGTAAACAGAATATGCGGAATCTACCGTTCAGAAACAGGCCATAAAAAAGATTTCACTGATCGCTTTGGTGAGGTTCGATTACTTTATGGAAAATACTTTAAAATGCATTATTGCTGATTGAGTTACAGACATGCAGGCCAACAAAAACAATATAAGAAATACACCATGATCCAAGCCTTCGGAAAGAACTAATATCTGAATATGCCTCCAAAAGCTTTAAATCTAATACTAGTGTCTGTGTGTCTGTGTCTGTGTGTGTGTCTGTGTCTGTGTGTGAGTGTATTAACTATCCACCCCTGTTCCAGATGCTTATACAGTACAGGGTCACAATGTGTTAGCTTGGAGCCTATCCTAGGAAAACACATGCACACATACCCATTAGGTGTTCCTCAATATGCGTACCTAACCATTCTCACATACCCGTTTGATGCCATCTTTCATTATCTAAGCATTGTTCCAATGCTCAAGAACAGAGGTACAGAAGACAGTAAAAATTCCTGGGACTTGCCCAGCCCCAGATATGAAGGATGCATTGCTCCCCAACAAAAACAATCCCATGATTCACTGCGTCCCAAGTTCGTTCTTGGGAGGCAAGTTCTTGCGGAGAACACAAGTACGTTGTTTATGTTCTTGGCATTGATAAACACCCATTGTGCCATTGCATTGAGTTTTCAGAAGACGCAGCCTTCCCCACGCAGTGTACATACCGTCACTTTCCTGCCCTCGTAGGACTCTGTGATCCGCACACTTCTACCCACATCCCTGCTCTTCACAGACAGCTGTGGCCTGCTGCTTCCCCGCTGTCCATTGCACATGTCAAAGGTGAGAACGCTGCCACCGTCTCGGGCAGCAAAACCACACGCACAGGATGCTGGGTAGTGTAGTCCTCCACACTTCCACTGACGGACATGAACTTCAAACTCCCTCACTGTGCTCTTGTAGAAAACAAAAGTCCCGGTCTTGAAATTATCATACCTCCTGTAAGAAACACAAGCATTATCTCTGGTTTATTTTAAAAATGAGACATAAATTGAGGAGTGTGAAGGTACCAGATGTTGCAGCAGGAATTGGCAGAGTGGCTGCAAATTTATGTCAAAATCTCAAACAGAAGCTATTGCAATACTGAGAAAGGTCACTAATCTGCGTTGTTTTGCTAAAATCTGTATATCTTTATGGATTTAAAAAATTACCTCCTTTGGACGAAACCATCAGTAATCAGACGAATAACATATAATAGCAGCATTGTCTTTTTATAAAATAAACATTCCAGAAATAAATGAGACAGAAGACACGAGACTGAAATACCTGCCATCAAGCGTAATCACGTGTGGATCACTGAAAGAGTAGCAGTAGGCAGAGGGAACATCCTTCACATGAATCTGAAAAGAGGGGTCTGTTATTGCGTCATTAAACCCAATAATGTAAAATGTTCAATGCAGCGCATGTTTATATCGTTTATGATCTATCCAAACAAAAACATATCTGAACGTTATTACTGGCAGAGGATTATTAAAAGAAGGTATCTAACGATAGTGATAAATTAAGCAGGAAACCAAGTGTGACATCTCTGTCCATTTATGAAGACTGACTGGCCGCTTACCTGGATGGTCTGCGGAGTGTAACCCCTCCACAGGAAATTTTCACTACCAATTGGCTGGACCAAAATCTCAGTGGTTCGGTCCCCGTCCTGCACAAAGTCTATCACGGCAGAGAAATGGACCACGGCAGCACTGCAGATTCCATTCCAGCAAGGCGTCTGTGGAAGCTCCACAGAGCAGGAAGACAGGGCCACATTCGGGCTCCGGTGATCCTCTCCTGAGGGGACAAAAAAGGAAGACCTAGACGGTGCATAGAAGTGAAGACTACTCTACAGTTTATATGAGAAAGCTATTGCCTGAAGACCATCAGTGCCCTTGAAGACCTTAAATTCAGGGATGGGAACAAGTCACGCCTTGGCGAGTCCAAATCATGTCTCAAGTCAAAATATTGCAGGTCCAAGTCAAGTCTCAAGTCATGTGCCCTCAAGTCCAAGTCTTTCCATTAATTTTGGTGTGGAGTCATCAGATTTGTGACTCAAGTCCAAGTTGAGTTGTGAGTCATGTAACTCGAGTCTCTACCTATGTCAATTGTTTCTTATCTTTAGTGAATAAACTTGCGGCAGAAAAAACCCACTACGATAAGTTGTAGGTTAAGTCCTTCATAAGCAGAGGTTTAGAGTCTCCACTCTGTCACAGTTGCCTTCACACAGTTTTAACATCTGTGTATATGCAGCAGTGAAGCATCTTTCCAACAAACTATCTCAGGGGACCTTGCATGCAGCCAAATGAAAATTCAGACAGCAGAGAAATAATATACACTGAAATGATCAAATTAATGTTATTGTATCCATAGGGGGGACTATAACCTCAAGCCTTCTTGAGCCATAGGGTCCTTGAGTCTTGAGTCATCTGCCCTCATGTCCAAGTCAAGTCCAAGTCTTTCCATCAGTTTTGCCGTATCAAGTCAAAAGTCATCATGTTTGTGACTTGAGTCCAAGTCGAGTTGCAAGCCAATGACTTGAGTGCCCACCTCTGCTTAAATTCTGGGCTATGCTGGAAGCCTACAGCAGGTTACTTACGACGCCTTTACCTTGATTTCTGGCACCCAGGTGTAAGGTGAGAGCGCACTCCTTCACAGGTCTTCCATTTGAGGAACAGGGGATGGGAACTGTGCTCTCCACAGTCAGTTTGTACTCCCTCCCATCTTCAGAGATAGACATAGCTTCTGGAATCAACTGGGGTCAATTCACAAGCACCCATGAGAAGCTACTGGTATTGCTTGACTGCTTTTAATCACATTGATTTACATAAATTTGTAAACTTTTGACACAGTATCCAAAGGCTGGAAACAATAATTAAAGGCAGATTAATTTGTTTTTATTAAATATACCCTGATTCCAGCGAAGAACTGCTCACTATCCACTGGGGTTCCTCGTATTTCTGGAGTGTCAAGAAAGAAGCTGGAGCAGCTGCAGTAGATCTGCACAGGGGTTAATGGAGCATTATGGGAAAGAAGGAGTATGTCCCGCCGTGAATATGCAGTGGTTCACAAAGCCCTCTATCATTTTTACTCTACAGCGGTACGGGCAGCTTAAAAGGAATGTGACTCCAGGGATATTCCTCGGTTGCCACATTTCTCACATTCAGTGTTTGTAGGAAATGACCTCTCAAGCCCTTAGCACTGCTTGCCTGAAGCTGGCTTGATAAATCCTTTGTTGTTTCCAGCCCCTATTATACTGTAATTAACCGAGCTGGACAGTTTAGGTTCAGAAAGTAAAAATCCAGACCCAGATTTTGTTTCAACCGACCAATTGGGAGTCATAGTCACAAATTCCTCAACTGGTCGGTTGAAACAAAATTTTGGCCTGGATTTTTGCTTTTCTGAATCTGAACTATCGACCAGTGTAATGAACCTATCGACGAGTACCTTATCCCCAAGTCGCAGGTTAATTCCATCCAGCTCAATGTATGAGAAGGTCTGCACAGTGGTCTCCTGTTTGAGCTCCTCCTTCTTGCTGTCCGGTGACATCCGTGACCATGTCACAATAAAACCCAAGGAGCTGTTCTCATTCCGGGCCTCAAAACTACACTTTAAGTAAATATTGCTTCCCGAGAGATTTGCGTTGATTTTGGGAGCTGATGGCAAAGATGGATGTTTAGCTGAAAGGAAAGATACAGGTCAAACACAGAACACGCAGCAGCAGGTAGCAGTGATTATGGGATACAACTGAGAGAAGGGATCTTGCCAACCTAAACTTATGAACCATAAGCAGATGTGCAGCACAAACTGAGCAGGAGAAACTTTGTGTGGTTTGGAAGATATCTGAGGGATCAGTCCATTTCATCATATTAATTCAGACCATTGTTAGTTCAGGTAACTTTGGTAACTGGTTCTTATTTGTATAATTCCAGATACTCTAAAGATACAAAGAAGGCTTTGCAGTCTTCACCTCTACAGGTTCCATCAACATCCATCTCATCTGGGGCACAGACTCCTGGCCTTACACTTGCCATCTCTGTTCCACGGAAAAAGCAGAACATTGCACCAGTATACATAATGTAATTCTCTACCTGTTTATGCATTAAGAGAAAACTCAAACAAACAGACTTACATGCTAACACACATAGAATCACTCGCACATTTACAGCTGGTGCAATAAACCAACACAGTCAACATGCAGTGAGCCTGAACACTCACCCTGCGCGCAGTAGCCCATGCATCCCTGCGTCGGCTGCAGCAGGTAAACAAAGAAGTCCCCGCAGTTCCGCACGGTCACAGGGATGCGGAAGAGGCAGCAGTCCTTACTGCTGCTGAAATAGAACTGCCACGTGGCACAGGCAGTCATCTGCTTAATCTGTAGAGGCTGGGGCAGTGTCTCCCCCTCCCTGAGTGAGAGCCACACCGGGGCCTGCGTCCCACAGTGGTTTACCTGCGTGTGAGATACGTTACGAGCAGCATATCAGCATATCACACACCTTAATACTATACGTTTATACTATATAATCATAATAGACATCTTCAAAAAGCTCAATACTTAAAGAGACCTTTCAGAAATCCTCCGACTGATGGGAGATAAAGAACATTCCACCACAGATGTTCTTTGTAACTAGTGTAATGTTTACATAGGTTCTGTCTCCACTGGGTTGAACAATGACCAAGTATTCTTCTTACAAGCCTTCAAGTGGGATTCCAGTATATTTTAAACATTTCTAAGATTTCTATATAAACATAAATTGTGCATGCACTTTTTTATTATTTCTATTGAAGTCTTGAGAGGCAAAAAGATTGCATTCTCGATGAGCATAGAAGATAATACTCTGGTATATTCTGGCCTTGTTTCCATGAGCTTATTTACCTTCACTATAGTACTATTATATCTTATGTATCCCATAAACTACATTAAATATTGCCATGCAGTTACTGCATTACAACAAAAACTTTGGCCAAAGTGCTGCTGTACTAAGATTTGCTAGTTAATTCTATTCTTGGTTGAGAAGGTTTCAGGGAGGATGAGCTTGCCTCAACACATTCGGTTGGCATGACGGCAGGCTTGTCAAAGATCTGGAACTGGTACCAGCCGGGAGCGAGAGAGTGGTCACACACGAGAGCCTGCAGGGAGGACTGCTGGAGCCGCTGAGAGCTGAAGCTGGTGCTGCGGTAAGGGTTCTGAAGCAGGGTGTGTCCGTCCGCGGTGCATTCGAGAGGCGGAGCTGAGCAGGAACCAACCAGCAGACGTTCATGCCATGGAACAAAATCAAACACAACCTCAGTCATGCTGTCCCATTAAATTGGGGTCTTTATGGAGGAGCTGTATATGTCTCAGCAGGTTGGGGATCCATGCCTGTTTGAAGAAGGCTGTGGGTTCAAATCCAGTTGCTGGCAGAGAAATCATAATACAATATGGCCCATGAGCAACCCCCTAAACTCTACCTATTCCAGGGGAGCTAGATGCTGGTTAATAGAGAGGCACTGATCCGATATTCGGATCCAGATCTATTTGATGAATCAGGTATTGGCCATATGTGTCCGATACTTATTTAGTTTTTGGCAGTCTCTAAAAAGATGTTCGTGTTAAATCAATTTGTACAATCAATCGCACGACACGTTTTTCCCATTTTAGATGTGTATTTTTTTGCGGACTTAAGGTAAATAAATCAGTGGGTGTAAGCGCGATGACTTCCACCTGCTGTGACGTCATGCGCATGCTATTTGCAGCAGGAGAAGCGTAAAAGCAGCAGACAAGGTTGTGACGGTCTGGAAGTACTTTACGCTTTTAACAACAAGTACTGGTTTGCAGTCTTTATAAAAAAAACATAGTTTTGAGTGGTGGGAGTAGCGTTCAGTGGAAAAATCCCCCAAACAAAGTGCACGCAGTTGTGCGAAACGACGCGAGTAATATGAAAAAAGCAATGGATGATTTGGGAGTCGCTAGCTTGGGCTGCGCCCTCCTACACTTTGTGATACTGTACAGGGGTGACTATCGCAACGAAATGTAAATGACGCTATTGCCAGTGAGAGAAACATTGTGGGGCATTTTAACCATTGGCCACTTTCATGTACTGTGCTGGAAGATATTCAGATTGAACTACAAACGCTTAGAACAAGACGTACAAACGAGGTGGAACAGTGCTGTTTCTAGCAGCCTAATTAAAGTTTTTGGCATATTTTTTCATCTGTATCTACTAGCAGGTGTGTATCGGAATCGGATCAGAACTGAAAAAATGTCGATCCGCCCATCCCTACTGGTTAACCTTGTGCTCTACACCGAAAACAAACTCTCACCTATACTTTCGTGTCTGTGTTTCTCGCAAAGATCATGATGGGGTATGTGAAAAAAAAAATCCAGTTTCCCCATGATGAAGAATAAGGCGCCTCTATTCTACAAAGATGGCACAGGGTTTAAAGTGTTATTGTTTTACTTGTTTGTCATTTGTTCATTTTAATTTTTGGACATTCTATACAAACTCAAAACATGGAAATAACAAAAATATATTTTAAAATGTATTACATAAGATGGTATTTCTTTTGTGTCACTAATTGTATGTGTGAAAAATAATGTGGAGCCTGAGGAATGACAATACATACTTTTTTTATTCTGTGGAAAAAGAAAGATCTATACCTACTGGCCAGATTTACTAGTTAAGTAAAAACAGGACCAGTAGTATGAACCTTCTTGTAAGTAGAGATGTCATCCATCCTGAATCCTTTACTGGGTAGCACCATATATTATAATAATGTATGATAATAATAATATGGATCCAGCAGCAACAATGCTTGGACTAATAATAATTATTCATTTTTAATTAGGGCAAGAATTGTTTATAAACCGATAAAGTAAATTAACACTCAATCAAACATGCCTGCTAAGGTTAATTGGTCCCCTTCCATTGCTGCATGATTAAGCCACATCACACCACCAAAATGTGCGGAAGGCATGGAATTTGTCTTTTGTGTGTTCTTTGGACGACTCCGAATTATACAGCAGTGTATTGCTGCCACCGTGACAAAATAAAATTTGCCAAGTTGTTATAATGAGATAAGTATTTCATTATAATGATATCTGTATCTTTCTCACTGTAATCATTCTCAATGTACTTCTTGTCTGCATCTGGTATATTCTGCATAAAGCCATACTTTACACTAGATTCATATGTATACAGTAATTCATCCATCCATCCATTTTCCAACCCGCTTATCCTTCTGGGTTGCGGGGGGTCCGGAGCCTATCCCAGAAGCGGCGGGGAACAACCCAGGATGGGGGGCCAGCCCATCGCAGGGCACACTCACACACCATTCACTCACACAGGCACACCTAAGGGCAATTTAGTAACTCCAATTAGCCTCAGCATGAGGGGAAACCAGAGTATTCGGAGGTAACCCCACGATGACACGGGGAGAATAGATGATCCGCATTTCACTGGTACTGCACCTATACTCTCTGCACACTGACAAAAAGTGGAATCAGAGAAAAGAGAAAAGAAACACTTTATTTAAGCATGATTGTTGCATTTATTTATGTTTATAAAAACCTACATGCTTCAACAGCAAAGACGTATATACTACGGAGCCGGCATGTCTCGTTATAACAAGATACTTATCATGTAATAACGAGATAAGCATCACATTATGATGAGAAACTGGGCAAATTTTATGTTATGGCAACAGCAATACACTGTCACACAATTGTAAGAGGATTTTCGTTTAATTATTTTGAATGAGCGCGGAGATTCAGGAGGCCATGCACTGTTAGCCAATAAAACATAACAAAGAGTGTTTGCTCATTTTTGTTGATGTAACTGGACTATATTTCACAGCAGAAACTTTGTGATTAACAATAACACCATTTAAATTTATCGTAGTAAGGAGGTAAGGATCATGCACTGATTACAGTGTGTCGCCGCACACAACACATGACAAACCACCTCTGAGATGAGAACCCGAGTGCAGCCATGTGGTGGGCGATACCTCAGCACCACTCCAGTCCAAAGGGACCAGTGTGAGTTTTTTCCAGTGGCTGGAGCGTTAATCCTGCCACCAACCCCCAAGTTATTCCGTATAAGTTGGAGGACCTCCTTGCAGGACTGGGTGTAGATTAACGTCATACCCAGGACAGAGTAACTACAGGTTAAGGACCTTGCTCAAGGGCCCAAAATGAGTAGAATCACACTAGGCATTCAGGGGATCTGAACCAGCAACCTTCCAGTTGCTGGCACAGACCCCTAGCCTCAGAGCCACCACTCTGCCCATCGTAGTGCGTCAAATGAATTATTTTGTAATTAGTCGGATGTTATCTATCACAAATGACATCGATAGTGAAAATAAGGACACCAATATCGAGCTGAAAAATCAGAAATTAAAAAAGAGGCATGGCTGGGACCAAGGGCAAGACTTTCACTTGGGCGTTGAGGGGTTGAGGTCTCCTCTCATTTAAAGGGTCCCAGGGGGTTGTGTTGGTCGGGTTACAAGAACAGTGACTTCTAATAACAGAACTGTATGTCACAAGGAAATTAAATTATTAACTAAAACGAACGTTAAAGAGAATGTCCAAGATTGCCACATTGGACAGCCCAACGACTGTTTCCAGCGATACACACCCCCTCTGCAGAGTGGGAGGGGCTGGCAAAAAATCAAAAAGGCCCGCAGAGGTTGAGGATCAGGAAGGTTCTCAGCTGGTTAAAACGTTAAAATCATCCAATCCTCCAAAATCAAAGTCAACCATCAATGCTCTTCTGAAGGAGGCCCTAGCTACAGACTGGACAGAGGACCTCAGGTTGCAGAAGTCTCTGTGTCGGTCCCCCCACTGTCAGAGAGTGGAGAAGGAGGCCATGAAGCCAAAGGCACAGCATGAGAGACGGGAGGCATCCAAGGTCAACAAAGTGAGCCTGAAGTTCAACATCCCTGCAGACAGAGAGGCGTTCAAACTGGAGAACTACATCCATGGAACTGAAATCAGGGCTGTACGCTAAGCCCAGAGTACCTGGGAGAAATATGAAGGCTTCTGCAAAAGATAGATGGATGGATGGATAGATAGATAGACAGACGGATAGACATTGCCTCACAAATCAAATGAAACATTATTAACATTATTATTATAAAGTTGATAAATTTCCTGACCAAAGTCTACTTCATAACTGTGAACTTGTTTGATGGATTCTACCCAACAAACATCTGGCTTAAAGACTACGTTCTGAAATGCTACATTTCTAATGGCCATAACAATGAGCCAATTATCCATCCATCCATTAAATGTTAATGTATGGGCATATTTCCTGTACAGCAACAGGTACCTCCCAAAGTTAACTCTTGGCAAAATCAAAAATAGCACAATAGAATAAAAAAAAATATTGTATGTAGCTTTGCAATATAGATCACTCACGTCATGCAACGTGAACATTCCCTCAGTCACAGAAACGTGGACTCTGACAGAATATGCAAAATATAATAGTGAGGGTCACTTAGAAAACTTCAGCTTCCTAATGATCATGAGGAACCTAAGCTTGTCCAACAATAACATCTTGAAAGTTCCACGGAACGATGTCATTCCAAGTCATACGAATATCAAATACAATATAAATGAATACATTTCCAGCAGGCATATTAGAAATTACTCACAATAATGTGTCCAAAATATTTTCAGCAGACAATTACACATTTTCATATACACAATTTGAGTAAAACTGACTAGCATTTCAAACTGACAGAAGTCATGACTGGAAATTGTTCTTATAAATGTTGACCAGAAACTAAACAAAGGTAATTATTATTAGATGGTTTTATAGAAGTACATTACTCTAATAACTCTACATTATTACTTTGAATACTGCATTTTAATAACAAACATAAGGAGAAATTTGACCTGCTGCAGTCCAATTTGAAACATTGTATTTGCTTAATTTAAGCAGTATTTTTTTTATATAATAATATTACTTTACCATATGTAACACAAAAACCGGCCATTCGGCCAGCTTTTAATTAAATTAATTTCGCGTCTTACTGCATTTATAAAGCCTTTACTATCACCCCGTGCTAGAAGTGCAAAATTATGGGTCTCATTTAACAAAATGAGCTAATGACCACATATACAATCACAATCAAGGTACAAAATACATCAAAGGAAATATTACGTTCAATCAAAGCAAACACTGTATGCTTGTCGCAACAAATGAAAACAGGTAAATACTACCGTGGATAACTTTATAAATATGCCTGCTCCACGGTAAAGTGCGGTTCATACTAATGGTTTGTCTGCTTACCTGGTCGACAATATACTCTAGATGACAGTGAGACGAGGAGAGAAATAAAGAAGCGAGTCACGCAAACTTCATCCCTCATGGTCACTCCGGAACGGCGAGGCTCCTTTCAGCAAGTATCTCACGGCTTTCACGGTCATTCAAAAGAATTCTGAAAACAAACTGTAAGTATTTCGACGAATAAAAGTCTCCTTAAAGGGTATTTGGGATAAAGCACTGGCTGGATACTGATGTCCTACGTCCCCAGCGAAGTGAGACCCAGGAAGTGTAGTGCGGCAGAGAAACGTACTTGGCCCAAAATTGCGAGGTTACTTGAGAGAAGGGGCGTGTCCTGAGCGGGCATTCCTCACGGTGTCGAGCTCACTCTCACATCTGTCACGGCGTTCAGTTTATCCATACACCGAGAGGACTTCCATTAAATTTACGAATCAAATAATATCCATACATCTGACATGCGTCAAAAAAAAACTGTATTCACAAATAATTATTTAAAAATGGTCTGGCCCTGTCTAGGTTAAGTGTTTGTATGATGCTATAGATAGATGGAATTTAGTTCCAAAATTCGAGTTATTTTTTCTGAGACTCCCGAACAAAAATCTGGCTAAATCTCAGGAAAATTGTGCAATGCCCAAAAATGTGAAAATACAAAGACACAAACCACACTTATCGCCATCTGGGCACAATCAGTTTCTCCTGATACTAAAGATTTGTTATTCTGAGAATAAAGTGACTAAAAAACACTCTTTAAATTCCTTGGTGTAAAACAGAGGGGAAAGTACAGTATCATTGCAGTATTAGCCCATCCATCTACCCATCCATCTAATAATGAGATTATCCATCTCGGGACCAAGAAAATGGCCCCCACAAGGTCAAAATGACAGGTCACATTGTGGGGTTCCCACAATGTAATACTGTATGTACATGACCCCCCTCCACACACACACACACACACACACACACACACACACACACACACACATACACACACACACACAGTAACACAAAGTTCACTCACTACAGGCAATGTTCAGTCATTCTAGTGCAATAGGTTCAGCTCGCTTATTATGGAAGACTAATAGATTTTTTCAGTAAGAAATAACCTGCAAGCAACTTTATAAGGCAGTGATTTTAAAAGTCCATTGAAGAAGGATTATGACTAAGTAGCAAAAACAGGTACAAATTAAATTTTCATAAAATCCCGAGAGCCGTCCTGCTTTCATATGCAGTGATTTTGTTTGCTACCATTGTAAACAAGTGTTTGATAAAAGCTCAGAATATGACTTAGCATGACCAAGGAAAGAGAGTCACATGCATAGAACATGAGACTTTACGTTTACACAATACGCACAATGAAATAATATGTGATTATACTTGTATGTACATGATCTGAGGGACTAAGAAAGAGATATTGGGAGACCTGAGAAGGAGCCACAGACAGGCATTAAATAGCTGACCTTTGGCATGTTCCGGCAAATTCAGCTGAAAATTCTTGCAAAAGCCAAAGGCACGTAAAGGTTCAGGCGTGGTCCCACCTGTTCCAGCCTGCCTTACGTTGAAGACTCCTTAGAGTGCAAAACCATTTGGCAGGACCATTTGATAATCTGTATAAGACCATTTATGAAAATCAAAAAAAATCATTTTAGTCAGTCAACAGGAAAAAACACAATCTTTGGAGGCTAATACCAGATACAAATAGTATATTTAGGATACATAATGACCCAGATAACAGTAATTTCTAATAACAGAATTATATGTCACAAGAAAATGAAATTGTTAACTGAAATGAATGTTAAACAGAATTCTTCCTTAAATATGTATTTTATTAACATCACCATCACATGAATAATTGCTTAGAACAAGCATTTGCAGACAAATTTTGTTTTTAAAAAGCGTTTAGAACCTTGAGGTGGCATAATGGAGCAGTGGTCAGGGGATGGCATAATGGAGCAGTGGTCAGGGGGTGGCATAGTGGAGCAGTGGTCAGGGGGTGGCACGGTGGAGCAGTGGTCAGGGGGTGGCATAGTGGAGCAGCTGTGAGGGGTTGGTGGCCCATCCCTGCTTTGTGCCCACAGCCTCCATGACAGGCTCTGGGCCCCCGGCTGCCCTCAAAAGGGGAAGCTGGATGGGTTTGGAACCTTGGGATGGATTTATGTTTCCTATGTCATTATCCCTGGTGTTTGTTCAGACATTATATACATTTGTCACCTTATGTAGCAATCAGGACCTATGTGCTGCCCATAGAGCTCATAAGACAGTGTGCTTCTCCTATGGTCAAGCAAAGCACATATATACACAAGCCTGAATGCTAGATAGTATGTGCAAGGGAACTTTACAAGAGGCATGGAAAAGCTCAAACAATGGTTTAGTAAGACGGAAATGCAGTCAAGCGAGGAAGGAATTTGATACGGAGGAATTACTGTCCCAAAGGTTGTTGATTCCAACAGCAGACCACTGGACAGTTGATCTTACAAAACTGCTAATCTAGTACAGGGTCACCATGTTTCCTAGAGCCTGTGCCAGGAAGTACAAGGTATAAGGAGAGTATGAAAGCCGTTAGGTATAGCTAGCTGGGTATAGGGCAGTGGGAGGGGCATGGATAGCCCGGCTGATTCGGCAAGACTATCACTGTATAGCGGCCCAAAATATACCGACGGCACCCAGCCTGGCAAAATCTTTGACACATGTGACCCTGGTTTCTTCAGATTGAATCACCAACCCACCCAGGGGGACCAAGGTAATAGAATTTCTATCCATGTCCCTGGCTGGGTGTACGCACTAAACATCGTATACATTTCTTACGTGCGTTATCAACTGGTACCATCTAACACTTTGTAAGTGAGTCTGTAAATGACACCTGGACAAACCATTTCTGTTGTTCACACAGAGGCATGAAAAGCATTTGGGCTCCGCGTTTGTCTCAGATTTATTACGACTTTTATCACGGGTACTTAACACAAGATACTCGCAAAGGAGGAAGCTCATCCAACAAGCTGACTCTGTATTGCTTGGTGGTCACAGTATGTTCGATGGACCCTGACAAAAGCATGAATGAACCATTTCACATGGAGATGAGTGTTTGTATAAGGACTGTCCATTATCAGTCCCAGCTGTCACCATTAAACTCACTCAGATTTCTTTTTCACAGGATACCAAAGACCATAATCAAAACAAGGACGGAAGATGAAGTACTGGGCTTGCTATTTCTAGTAATACTTTATTGACAAATGCGTGGGAATTATAGGTGCCTCTTAAAAAGACATTGCAAGACGGGTCCATACAGTGAGCACAGCCGCCAAAGCTAGATTTACATCTTCATCTTCTACAATGCATTTAATGTTGATATCATGTTAATAATTTCTGAAAGTTTTTATAAAAGCATATTAACAAATAATGCAGTAAAACAATATGAACAGAGAGGAAGGACCTCTAGAGTGACTTGCATGACTCAAAGTAGGTGTCAAGAGAAACAGTCAATGGCAAAGCGGCTTGGCTGAGCTCAGTGTGGGGGTAGGATTCAGGAAGAGTGCACTCAGTACCGTTTAAGTGCCAATTCAGTCTCTTTTTAGGGGTCTGAAGTGCTGTGGATCAGTATTGTTTTTCTTAGCGTTTGTTTGAAATTTTTCAGGTGCACAGTACATAATACTCAAAACTGATGTGTCACAAGGCATAGTGAGTAAAATATAAATAATTGACGTTTTTGTATCGTTACAAAGAGAAACAATAAGCACTTTAAAGATCTTAAATATAGTTCTGTGGAGGTGACTAATATAAATGTGCCAGGAACCTTCAGTTGTGTTATGATGGTCATGGATCGACTTTTCAAGTGGAAGTTTAAAGGCTGCATGGGAAATCTGGGAAATCTTCAAAGAGGGAACACTGGAACTGCACCATAGGAGTGATTAAGACATCGCTTTAGCATGTAAACCAGAAAAGCCAAAGTTTTGGAATCTGAGCTGACCAATAATACAACTGAAACACTGGCACAATAGCGCCACCTTTCTCTCGCAAGGGAGATCAATTTCCCGAAGCATTTATTCAATGGGATAAAGAAAGAAAAATGCACGCAGGAAGTCATTATGAAACATAATAACCCACTCCCTTCGCTAAAAAAAAAATACCCCTGAACGTCATCAAGATAAAAAATATAATACGTGTAGTATCGTACAAAGAAACAGAACGATATACACCTATATCCTGTTACTCCAATGTAACTCTCCACTATAAACCGCTGGCTTTTGCACTAACATAGATTACGCCATACAAATAGAAAAGGATTTAAAATAAATAAATAATAATAATAATAAATGAAAAACACATAAAATCAATAAAGTACAAATGCAGGATGTCGCTTAATTGTTTTACCTGGACACTCGGATACCTGAAATGGAGCGCAAACATGATGCGGAAATGGGAGGTACCCTGAATTTTTTTAAAATATATAGTTTACTTATGGTATTTAACCAAGCCCTTTGCAAAAGCCACGGCGTTCTGCTGCCTGATGGCGGAATACGGGCCGGACTGGGGAATTGGTACACTACAGGATCGAAGTCAGCCCATGGATTTGAGTGGACGAAATACAAAATCTATATAAAAAGTAAGAAATAACTAAAACTAACTAAAAGCAACCCAAAGCCTGCAATTAAAGGTAATCAACCATTTTATAAAAAAATTGGCCTACGCAAATACATGAGATGGGTGTTCTGTCGATAACCCTAACCCTAAGCCTAACCCTAAGCCTAACCCCAAAACCCCTAAAACCCTTACCTTAACCCTAACCCTAACCCCTAAAACCTAACCCTAATCCCAAAACGGTGGAACTGCACATGAGCAAAAAGGCTCGATAGCACGTCTCGATAGGTAGTATTTTTCGACAGAACACCGCCCATGTTTAAAACAATGATTTAAAAAGACTTTTATGATAGGGTGACCAGATAATCCATGTCATCCCGGACACCTTGAGCTACTTCAGGTAACTACCCTAAAACCGAAAGGCTCCTGTGCTTGGTTAAATAGCTCAGTTCTTCTTGTGCTTTGACAGGTTTGTTTCTTTGACTGAAAGACTCATCCAGCTGTTTCACATTAACATTAGTGACACGTGCATGATTATAGGAGACTGACCAATCAGCACACAGCAAGAACTCGGTACTTAAGTGAAATCCAGGTCCTTTTAATTGAAATGGTAGGTTAGAAATCCTGTCCTAGCTCAAAGTGTCCGGGATGACATGGATTATCTGGTCACCCTAATATAACGGGAGACCTTGAGGGCGCTATCCCTCCTCAGCGTGAGA